TCAAGGATTTCATCAGGGAATTTGGAAGCAAATTCAATGGATCTACTAATGGGTAGGATAGTGTTATGATGAATATCATATCCTAAAAATCTAACCTTTGTTTGAAATAGTTTAATTTTAGGAGCAGAAATAACAAGACCATGACTTTTAATTGTGTAAAAGAATGCAGTTAAATGTTTCCAATGTTCACTAATTGATTTAGAAAAGATTAATATGTCATCAATGTAGACAATGGAAAAATGACTAAATGGGTTAAATATGTCATTCATTATATGTTGAAATTCACTAGGAGCATTTTTTAAACCAAATGGCATGACATTCCATTCATATTGACCAAAGGGTGTATTAAAGGCAGTTTTATATCTATCTTTGGGATGAATTTGAATTTGCCAAAAACTACTTTTTAAGTCGAATTTACTGAAAATAACGGCTTGACTAAGTCGTTTAATTAAATCTTTTTTATTAGGAATAGGATACCGAATCCATTCTAAAACAGAATTTAATGGTTTGTAATTAATAACAAGTCGAGGGACACCACGTTCTAACTCAGCATTTTTATTAACATAGAAAGCAGGACAGGACCAAGGTGATTTACTTGGGCTAATGATGCGATTTCTTAATAATTCTTTAATTTCTTTTTTACACATTTCAAGTAATTCGTAGTTCATTTGAATAGGTCTAGATTTAGTAGGAATTTGTGATTCATGAAAATTCTTAATATAGGGTAAGGTAACAACATGTTTTTTTTCTATGCCAGAAGGCAGTGGGTAAAGTAGAACAAACAGTTGACTCAAGTTTTAATTGAAAATCATGGATTTTGGAAACGAGAATTGGATCAGTCAATTGTTGGTCAATACGTTTATAATTGACTTCTTCTTTCAGAAATTTTAAATGTCTAGTTAGGCGGTTAATTTAATGAGAAATAGAACAATCTTTTAATTGGTTTAAGTGTAATAGTTCAGGAGGAGATAAAAATTTGAATGTAACAGGTTGTCCTAAAACATGAGTAGTGATTCATGTACTGGATGTGGTAAAGGGATATAGTAAATAGATAAATGGGGAGCCTAAGATAATTTTATCAGTCATGTTGGTGACTAAAACAAAGGAGGTTTTGAAACATACATTGTCTTGGCAAACATGTACTTTTGGTAATTTATATTTGATATGCATTTTAGTACCATTAGCAGAAGTTAACTTTTCTTGACATTTTTCATAATATGTAGTAGGAAGTAATCCTTCTTGGATACAATTTAAATCAGCACCAGTATCAATTAAAGCAATTAATTCTAATTCAAAATCATCAATAATTATTGTGATTTTAGAATACCATTTTTGAATGTAAAGTTTGTTGATTAGACTTAATCGTTTTTCTTCAGGATTGTTGGATTGAGAGTGGTGTGATCGGTTGTCGAATATTAAATGATCAGGATTAGTAGGATCAGATTCATGTTCAGATTCATGTGGGGATTCATGTTCATTCGTTTGGAAATTATCTAAACTTTTATCAATTTTTAAAGTAATAATTTCATCTTCAAGTTTTTTATCCTTATGTTGTAATTCTTTGATTGTTTGTTTAATCTGATTGATTTCGTGTTGTAAATCTTGTAAGGTAACTTCTTTATGTTTAGTTTTAAATCTTTCTAAGGTTTTGGATAAACTAATTATAGGTTTATCAAACTTAGGTTTGGAATCCGAATGAATTAATAAGGATTTTAATTTATCCGTATATTTTTGTTTTAACTTGGGATCATCTAATTTACTAATTAGATCGATTAAAGCAGATTCTTCTTGAGTAGTTTTGGTGAGAACAGTAATTTGTTTAACGGGTTTACAACAAACATCATTACATCCTATTGTAATATCATTATCGGAATTATCACTAGGTGAGGAGGAATCAGATGAAGTAGCAGGAGGATCCGAAGAGGAACTACTGAGGGAGTGATTTAATTGAAAGATTTCAAATAATTGATTTTTGGAATTATCATCTATTTGAAGTTGATTAACTTTGTCTTTTAGTTTTTGTTTTTCTTTACATTTGTTTGAATAATGTCCTTTTTGACCACAATTATAACAGGTAACATCTTTAGTTGATTTAGATTTTGGATGGTATTTGGATTTGTAATATTTCTTTTTAGGTTTAGTATAAAATTTATCATTGGATTTGGAAGGTGTATAGTTCTTCTTATATTTATATTTATTGGAATGTTTATAGGATGATTTATGTTTGGAGTATTTGTGTGATTTCCTACGGGAAGGTGCAACAGGAGGTAAACCATATTGTTCACAGAAATTGCCTAATTCATATTTAGCTTTATGTTTATCTTTATTAGCTTTCTGAGTAAGTTTAAGATCAATACACATTTTTAAACCTTCTTTTTGAATAGTGCTAATTATATCACCATATGTGAGAT